AGTAGCCAATATCCTCAGGATATCCACGTACAATTTTTTTATAATACATGCGATATATTTATTTCAATATTAAACTGCGTTATTTTTACTTGAGTAGTAAAAAAAATAACCGTTTTTGAGAAATAGCATCTTATACGAAGCAAAAAACCGTTTTAAAATCTGCCTAGCTGTTTCTGAGGAAAATGGTATCAAACACACAAACACATCTTACTAAAACGCATATACCGTCTCTGTGGCCATCGCGGGTAAAAAATATATTAACCGGTTAAAATCAAACACTTACTTTCTCATTTAAAACATACGATGTTACATATATATATATATATATATATATATATATATATATATATATATATATATATATATATATATATATATATATATAACTTTTTGTGCAAAACCCTAATAAATTTTCTTAAATAAAAGTAGCCGCGTAAATTACTCCTTATAACATCAGCTATCTACCAATGAAAGTCCCGTTAAAATCAGACCAGCCGTTTCAGAGATTAGCCGGAACGAACAGACAGATAGACAAAAATTCAAAAAAATGCGTTTTTCTTATAAGTACCGTATATAATTTCATATGCATTTAGTAAACAGCTGTTATTTTGAGATTACAAACAAACCTTTTAATTCTATTTATCTGTATAGATAACACTAAAATTGTAGAACAATATTTAACGTTTTAATGTACTGCTCTTACCAACATTTTTTTTTTGCTATCTACATTAAGAATTCTACTCAAATCATGAAGCTGTTACAGCGTAAAGAAGTAACAAATACACGTATTCACAATCTTTTACATTTGTAATATTAGTGTGACATATACGAGAATAAAAAAATCTAATATAGCTTTATGGAGCTTTATTACTATGCATTCTTATACATTGCGAGGATTATGGTAGAGCCAAGACCATAAGCTTATAAGCATTAGGTATATATAAAAGTAATATCAAGTAAGCTTTAGAGGTTAATATGGACAAAATGTTTTTTTGCAAGACATTGTATCATAACACCAGCGACTTATCTCGCTTCGCTCGGGTTCGTCCCTCGGTTGATTCCCCATACATACTTTATTATTATTAAGGGATTCCTGGATGAAAAGTATCCTATGTCCTTCCCAGGGACTCAAACTAACTTCTTACCAAATTTCATCTTAATCGATTCAGTAGATCCAGAGATTACCCCCTACAACGTCACAAACTCACAAACTTTACCTCTTTATAATATTAGTATTAGTATAGATAAACAATCCCATCTGTAGTGAATAGACTTTTTACTATAACAGTTTTTGCCCACGGCTTTTTCGCTTAGTGAGAGGGGCGGAGATTAATTATAGCCTATGTCTATCTTTATAAGGCCACATACATATTTCTCATACATATTACTCTATGTTCTTTTCTTTCATCAAAATCTTAAAGATGTACTTGTACATTTACAATTATAATATTACTTTTACTATGTAAATGTTTTTAATAACGCTTCTTGTAAAAGGTTTTAACATAGTTGTCTGGCGAACATATATAAAAATGGAGCATCAGAATTAACGTGAAGTTAAGTAATTATTTTGGGACCTTTAAAGCGTCTGCAAAGCAATACGGCCGACGGAAAGTGTCTGGGAGTATTGACGACTTATTTTTAACGATATTGTCTAAAACATGCGTGAAAATCAGTTTGGAGAATGTACGTGTGTAAGTAATCTTTTGAGGTACCTTGATTACCTGATACCTGGAAATTGGCCGTGTAACCAACTAACCAAGTTAGCAGGTAGGCATGCGATCTTAGTACATACTAACACTACCCAATCGTCCACATTTCGTTCATCAGAAAATACGTGACGTCTGGCGGCCCTGGGATCTTGCTCTATTACGTAAAAAGTCACTTAGAAACATCTAAATTTAAAAGACCTATCCAACGATACTCCACACGTTTATATAGACTTAAAAAGTTATTTGTACCCTCGATGTACTTGTGTAGAGCCACCTCTTACTTTTTAGAAATCAATTACAGATTTATATAACGATCTATATGAAAATTTGTAGCTCCAATAGTCTTGGAGTAAAATACTATGATATACGGACAAATGAACAGACGGACAGCGGGCTTAGCAAAATTATAATATTTCTGTTGTAGTCTTTTGGTTTCGGAACGCTAACACAGATAACACTAAATACTTAGACAAAAAGGCTAATTTTCACACACTAATCCTGACTATCATGGATGGGATTTTGAAATTCAAAGCAAAACGCTTTCACAGTATAAATGGAAAATGATATTTGTCTGTCCACATTTATATCAACGGGGATTTTAAAATATATGTACATTAACGCTTCAATACCTTTTTTTAACTCCATCCCGTTAGCGGTTATAAATAAAGCAGATTACATAATTTTTACGAAAAAATTAACGAATCGAAAATTGACGAGCTAGAGCCAGGGTAAGTTATTAAACAATATAGATCACTTGATAATCTAGTATTAAATTTAATAACTTGTTAGAAACAATTCCAATTTTTAGCCTAGTTTTTTAATATAACAGTTCGCAGTGGTCAAATTTTGACGAACATTTATTGTATGAATAAATTTTACCTACCTATGTAAAAAAATCTTTTAGACAAAAAGGTAGTGAACGGGTTTGCCTATTTATGCATAGATAAATTAAATAGATATGACTTCTAATTATTTCTGAAGTAGATGGTTCTTCAGTAACATTATATTCAGAGAAATGGTCATACTGAAGGAATTCGATTTCCAATGACCACAAAAGTTGTCTTCCCAGGTGTATAAAGTAGTTTCATCAAACTTATAGACTCGGCAAATACGCATCGAACGGAACTTGAACAAGTTTGCCAAAGTTATATGGTAATTGCTTTTACTTTGGTTTGTTACTAAAATAATCCTTTGAATTCTCTTCTAAAAGATGGATTTACATTAATTCTATCTGTCATTTATACTAATCTATACTAATGTTATAGAGAGGCAGAGTTTGTTTGTTTGAATGCGCTAATCTCAGGAACTACTAATCTGATATGAAAAATTCTTTTTGCATTAAATAGCCTGTATATTGAGGAAATGATCTATAGGCTATAGATCATCATGCTACTACCCAAGGGAGCGGCGCAGTAATCATAAACTCATATATTATGTCTATATAAAAGATTAGTTAAATTAGTATAGTATAATATTTATTACTATAATAAATTGCCATCTAATTAAATATATTGTTTGTATATTAATGATTATAAATTTTTGTTAAATATTTGGATAGAATAGCTCAGATTTTATAATTTTCTGTCAAAACGTGTTATGAACGATGAAAATTAATTTTGCCATTGAAATATACATATATATGTATATCTCTTATATATAATTCTTCTGTACGTGTGTTAGTCACCTAACTCCTCCTAAACGGCTGGACCGATTTGGATGATTTTTTTTGTGTATATTTCAATGGGTTCCTGGATGGTTTGAAAACATAATTAGACCCGGTAGGTGGTGCTGCAGTCGGTGTGTCACCAAATTTTCATGTAAGACTCCATTTTCCGTGCAATAAATACGTTTAAACTGTTGATTAAATAAAATAAAAATCGATATTGTGTGTATGTGCATATGTTTCCTATGGACTCCAAAACAGCGGGACCGATTTTGATGAAATTTTCAGACAATCTTTAGCTTAGCCCAGCGGGTGATCCTGTGAAGTTTTGTTACGATCGGGAGTTTACATATAAATATATATTCATATTATATAGTATATATTGTTTATACATATAATAATAATAGAATAATAGAAGGAATGTAAAGAGCGGACTTTAGTACAAGTTAGGATAGATTAGTTAATAAAGTAGTTAAAGGTACGTCTCAAAGAATTACACCAGTATTTTGCTATAGATATTCGTTGTGAAAAGAGAGGCTGCCCAAAGTCCGCGTATAATATGATACTAATGATGCTATTTTTTTTCTTTTACCTATAATATGGCGTGCAATAAAAACTATTTGTATTTATGCAATTTGCAGATATATAAAGCATTGAATTTTACCACCACCTTTCACCACCCTGTCCATATATATTTTCTTAGAACAATAACGTATAAGCCATGTTAGTTTATAAATTAACTTTTTGGTTGGACCACTTAAGTTAGGACCACACGAAGCTGACTTTTATATGCCTCTACAGAACTTTTGTGCAATAAGCAGTACAGGCAAAATATGTTGATATTATGTATAAACCAGTCTGTATATATTGTATGTATCTATTGTTGTAGGTTTAACTATAGAATGTAGATTGACAGAAATGAATTAAAATCTGCGAATTTTCAAAGTTTTATGTAATGAAAAGTCTGTACCTACAAACTTCTGCGTGTGTTTTACTTAGAATTTAATGCCTGTACAGATATCTATTGGTATACAAAAGTCTTTATAGTGTGGACTCATAATTAGACTGTAGATAGCGAACTTCTGTGATATATTATGTAACTTTGAAGCCTTAAGTGTGTGTACATATAAAGATTTTTTAAATAATTAATATATAAGCAACAGAGAAAAGATTGATATTTTTATTTGATACTTCTTATTCATCAAAGGATTCTTCTTTATATTAAAAATATAATATAATATACCAAGAAACCTTTAAGATAAATATAATATTTTTATTTGAAGTCTTGTGTACGTCAAATTCTGTGGCTTGTAATCTAAGAGCTATGAATATAATCAAAGTTTTGTCTAAGCCTATTTCATAACATAAAGACATATTGTTGGTCACATTTTTCAAAATATAATATATTCGGAATGATATTTCATTATCGTTTGTTCAAAATTAAGAAAAAGATATAAAGAAAAATTAAAATATATCAATATAGATATTTTTTTATTTAATTTAAAGATATATATAAATAATATTAATACTCACCAAAGATTGTAGTTTCTATTAAGTTCAGGCGAAACTTTGAGAGGATTACTTACTTTATTTCGTCGAATTATACAAAAGTTTTAAAGTACACTCACTGTCGCATAACATCGATAATGAAGTATGCTATATCCTTGAATCCCAGTGGACCAGCTCGTACCATCATGTAGTATTCATCTTGACACGTTTTCTTCGGTCTTACGAAGTCGAAGGAAAAACCGCCTGTTGTAACTAAAGGCGTGCCAGTGTTGCGAAGAAATTTCGTTATCCTCGCTACGGATGCTGTAAAGGAAATTTTTCTTTAGTATATTTACGAACAACTAATATTATTTCTTGAAGTTCTATATTATAACTTAATTTTCTAAAAGTCATACTCAAATAAAAAGAAACCTTTGCAATTACTAGTATGATTTGACTATATTTTTTTGAAAGCAAACAGTTAATATCACTACTGTTAAAAAATAATACTTTATAATTGACAGAACAACAAAACATAATACAAGATTAGTCCCTCCACGACCACGGGCACGCCGGCGTTACAGTTAACAATAGATTTCTTGGAAATTTAATTAATTTCTTAGAAGTTTACCTGGAGGTGCTAGATAAATTACCAACTTTATGACATACCAATAAGCATACTTAATATTATAAATGTGAAAGTGTGTTAGTTTGTTTGTTTTTCCTTCTTTCACGTGGAAACAGATTGACAGATTGGAATATTTTTTGTATGGAGATAGTTGGAGGGCTGGAGAGTGACATAGGCTACTTTTAACTGCGGAAGATTATCTCATTCCCACGGGAATACACGTTATAACGCAACCCAAAAAAATATTTATGATCAGAATTACTTGAAACTTTGTAAAAATGCTATTCAATACAATTAAATAAATACGTGTTTTAGCATTTTTCGAAATTCGTCCTAAAAGGGTGTAAAATATGGGATGAAAGTATATGAAACTTAGATAAGTTTAACTCTAAAAAGATTTTTAGAGTTTTTTATAGTTTTAGCGCGAGCAGAGCCGCGAGTTCTGCTAGTTTACATTATAAATCTCAAATAAATATTGAAAGTATAAAACATCCAAAAAACGCAACTAACTCATGTAATTTATTTCTATTAGCGAATGTTTTTTGGATGGATGTTTGTTACTCAATCATGCCAGAACGGCTGAACGGATGTGGATGAAATTTGGAACAGAGATAAAGTATAGTCTGGAATAGTACATAGATTACTTTCATCCCAGAAAAATGTACAATTCCCGTGGGATAGATTTGTTTTTCATTACGGACGAACCCGAGCAAAGCAAAGGTGAGTCGCTAGTATGATAATAAACATTTTTATGTAAATGCATATTATATTATATATTCTGTTTTATTTGAAGCACTTATGTCACACATTGACTCAACGCTATCTTAGTTAATCACCGAAGTTAGTCTTCGCTTGAATGGTGATCGTTGAATGACAGTAACTAAATATATCCGTGCTTCGAATGAATTATGCCATCGCATCCATTCAAGAAATTCGGAACCAGATAAATCTTATGCCGAAAGCGATTTTATAATTTACTAGCACTGCCCGCGGCTCCGCCCGCGTTCAGATGACCAAAAACCAAATTCTTAGGTTTTAGATATTAGTATACTCTTACATTGCAGTTTTTGTATTTTTTCTTAGAAATGAGATATTTTTCCGCGGTAAAAAGTTTTCTATATGTTGACCCGGATAACCAGCTATCACCATACCAAATTTCATCAAAATCCCTCCAGTGGTTTTTCTGTGATGCGGTAACAGACAGACAGACAAAAATTCTAAAAACTATAGATTCGGCCTCTGTATCGATAATAATGTTTATTTCAATAAGATTTTCCAAAAAAATATTTAATAATCAGATACGGCTTAGTTACAATTTTATTATATGTATAGATATTTTTTCTTTTTTAAAGTTTTTATTTTTCCGTTTTTAGTGTACTAGTGGCAAAGTAAATCATCCCCTATTTTCTCCACTTAGGGGTGGATTTCTTTTTTAAATTTAAAAAGAACAAACTTTGAGGTATACCCTATTCAATAAAAAAAGAATCATCGAAATCGGACCGCACTGTAAAAAATTATACGTGGTCAAATATAAAAAAAATATGCGTGTCGAATTAAGGACCTTGTTATCGTCGGTTAAATAGCCAAGTTGACCTGACAAGTGACACAACTGACTGTATTGACAAAGCTATCGATATTTTATCGTTATAACTTCACTAATAGGAATAGTTGAATTGGTTAAAAGTCTTTTAAATCGAATTTGTGTTGTTTTTATTCACGTCTAACTTCTCGTTCCTAAATATACCTATATTATCTAACACATACATAATAAAATTCTGAGCCGAATCTGTACATTAAATATTTTTTGGAAAATCTTATTCAATTACTCATTATTATCGATACAGAGGCTGAATCTATAGTTTTTAGAATTTTTGTTTGTTTGTCTGTCTGAGAACACATTACGAGAAAACTACTGGATAGATTTTGATGAAAGGTATGATGATAGTTGGCTATGCTGGTCAACATATAGGATACTTTTTACTGCGAGAAAATATCTCATCTCTGAGAAATCTATACTAATCGTTTAAGCGTATCCAGGAACAAACCCGAGCAGAGCGAGCGTAAGTCTCTAATATGAAATAATTTACTTTAATAAAAATAAATTACTGGGTGGGCCAACAATGTTAAAGCTTACAACTTTTCACATTTCAGTATAGCTGGCATTAGTTTGTACGAGTGTTAGATACTAAAATGTACGTGCATTAGTTTAATGTTCTCAATCTTCATGAAGAAAATACAGAAAAGAATAAATACTATACTTGTTTTAGACTGAATTTTTATCTATATTAACATAATAGAGATATGAAGGTGTAGAGTTTCTTTTGTTTACTTAGACGCGTTTATCTCCGGATTTGTATTTTTTTTCTCACCTATACTAATATTATAAAGAGATAAAGTTTGTGAGTTTGTGAGATTTTGAGTTTGTAAGTTTGTGATGTTGTAGGGGGTAGTCTCTACCCCCCCCCCTCCCCGTGCGTTCACCTTGTCGTGGTGGGGGGGCTCAGTAGTGCCCGGCAATCCAACCGGGCGCGAAGCTAAGAAACGCACAGGGAGGTTGCCCACTTCGGTGGGCGGTGGGAGGTGGCCCTCTTCGGGGGGCGGTGTACCATGCGGGTTGCTCCTGGTACTTCTTTGATAGCAGAGTGGACCTTGGAGCAACCCCATGGTTGTGGTGGTCTGCTTCGACAGACCTGCCGTCGGGGCGTCGTAGTTGAATGCGTAAGCGATCCTGCGACGCCCCATTAAGACGGGGGAAGGTTTTGTTGGTTTTAGTGGGTAGTACTGGCTGTATTACGCCGGTGAGTCCCACACGTCGTGCGTAAATGCATTTCCCAACGTTAAAAAAAAAGGGGGGTAGTCTCTGGTCTACAGAACCGATTGAGATGAAATTTGGTAAGAAGATAGTTTGAGACCCTGGAATGGACATAGGATACTTTTTATCCCAAAAATCATCCCTTAAGGGGTTGAAAATGGGGATGAAAGTTTGTATGGGGAATCAAGCTAGGGACAAACCCAAGCGAACCGTGGCTGAGACGTTAGTTTTTTATATAGTTCATTATTGAAGTAAAAGGTTAATGGATAAAGCTGAAAATTATGTTTTTTGTTAAACTGTCAGTTTGTTTTGAAAATCTATATCTTGTAGACATTTATTGAGCTTGAAGAGTCGAGCAATAATAAAAACAACATAGCCACAGTTTTACTTTGCCAATTAATTAAAACTTAGGTTGTAGTTATTTCCAACGATTATTATCATAAATACACTAATATCCGTCCAGTAATTACAATAATTCTCCAAAATATATATAGTTAGAAGAAATATTGTAAACAAATAACTTAAAATAATATTATTGTATGAATGGATGCAATTTATTTCAACAAAATTTTACCAAACAGTTTTTAAAAGATTTTATATTTAAAACAGCAAAGCAATATAAATTCAATTAACTTTTGGACGTTTTTATAATCATCATAGTGCCTAACGAGGTATCCAACTTCGAAATGTATGAGAATATACTGGCATACAAAAAAATGATGTTTATTCTACGCTCACGTGTTGTGATTTTGTAATAGAATCTATTGCTTGTAGAAAACCAATTTCCTAAAAAAAGAGGGCAAATTCACTTTATAAGACTTCTTATTGTCTCGAGTTTCCCCATTTTCCGTTGTAAGCTCGTAAGAGTTAAGGTAACACGTGCTCTACATAAAAATACAAGCGACTTACCCTCGCCGATTTTATATTATAATACAAACAGCGCCACCTTTTGGCAAATTTTAGTATTAACAGTAGCCTATATGTCATTGAAGTTTGAAGTAGCAACAAAGATACACTCATACGCACAAACTTTCGCATTTATAATATATAATAGTTCTTGTAGGTAGAGAAGTAGTTTTTGTTAAAATTAATATTTTGTTTATACTTAGGCTTCTAATTCCAAAATATGAAAATGTCAATCAAGAAACTTTTATGGTACAAAAGCTCGATCTATAAAGCTTGGGCGGATATGGGTGCGGATAACATGAACTTAGAAATAATGTTCGAAAATCAAAAGACCCTTTTATCCATATGTATAAGGAAGGGCTTGAGTGGAAATTTCGAAATAAAGGGCCTTGTATGATAATCAGTTTTATTGTAAGTTTTACAAACAGACGACGTGGTTTTTTAAATCAGAGATTTTTTTATAGAGAAAGAATCATCAAATATTTGCAATAGATTATAAAGATAATAAGCTATAGTTTACATATAAATGTCACAGACAATATAATACCACCATAAGGAACCTTGAAATGGACTAAAGTTCCTGTTGTACTCAACAAACCACTAAAAACGATGCACAATATTCATCCTCATTATTGTCATTAGTACAAAGAGCTTTAATGGGTAACCGGACACTGTGTAGTTAGTGTCATAAAACCGGCGTTAATTGCAATGTAAACGCAATTACATGAAAAGTCTCTGCGATATCCTGTCTAAAAAAATTACTCTCTAATTAAATTTTGATAAAACTATGTTCACATACAGGTAATACAGGTGTTTTAGTACTATACAGTATTTATTTAAAAAAATGTTTTTGTCCGCGATTTCGTTCTGTAAGCGTTGCGGAGTTCGAAGGTAGCCTATGTCTGATCTCAGGGTACAAAAATACTAAGCATATTAACTACCCAAAAGAAGTCCACTGTTGGACAGAGGCCACCACTA